ACCCTCTATGCCACTACGTCTAAGGGTTCCTTAGACACCATGCACCACACCGAAAACCAAACTCACTGCTATTGAGGTGCTGGTGACTCTAGAGACCCGAGCAGGCAGGTCAGCACTGCCCCTGTGAGTTTCCGAGACCTAACTTTGTTTTCCAACAGTTTTATTAACAAATAATTTACATGTCATATAATTCAGCAGTTCATTCATTCAATCATATCAAGAACTGTATAAAACCCCTACATCAATTTTAGAACCTTCCCCCCTGCAAGATTAAATTGACTTTAAGATGATTATGTTATCACAATCCGTTCTAGTGCTCCCCCCGCCTACCTCCCATCTTCATTAGTTACTCCCGAAATCCCCTTTCCCTCCCTGTCCCCCGCTCCCCTGTATCCCTATGTCCCTTGTATCCATTATTATCAGGATGCATCCACCCCTCCTGTGCTTCACAGCTGGGAGACCCAACATAAAACCATAAAAAACAGAATAACAATAGTCTACAGACAAAAATACTAATAATGCGTAAGACGGAAAAAAACCCCAACAATATTCAAAAAGCCAGGGAAGAAAGTTCTGTCACTGAACCAATAAGAGACACTTGCACCCAGAATAAATTCAGGTCATGTGTATAGGGTGGTCACTAGCCAAGTGTAGAGTTTGATCCAGCATCACCAAGATTACAGTGTGGCCAGAGCTCAGAGACTTACATTTTTAATGGCTGTAGAATGAAAGCCCCATCTTTCTCTTGAAGAGCAGTTGATGGTTTCGAACCGCTGAAACTGCAGATGGGAGCCCAATGTGTAAGTAACCACTCTGCTACCCGGGCTCCCAGACTGGACCTAATGTTAGATCCTAGACAGTGTTCTAATGTAAGTGATCGTTAAAACTCATGATTTTAGCTTGTTAGGTTTATAATGGAAAACATGCTTTGTACAACTTTGTGTTTTTGAAATTTTAAGATTTACCTTGTAGCTCATGACTCTGGTGGTGTATGGGGACTGCTCACTGATATATAGCCAATATGGCCCTTTAAGCCATAATTCCACCACTTGTCTGTCAGTTTGTCATACTGTGGTGGCTTGTGTGTTGCTGTGACGCTAGACGCTACATCACCAGTATTTCAAATGCCCGCAGGGTCACCCAGAGTGAACAGGTGCCCGCAGCACTTCCAGTTTAAGAACAGACTACAGACAAGGAAGAGCCGGACACTCTGGGGGAATCAGTTGCTGAAAATCTTATGCACAGCATCAAACATGGTCAGATGCTGAAGCCTACTGAATATACGCAGCATACTGTCGGAGATCATGCCAGATGGGCCTCTCAGATCAGAAGGCACTCAGAATATGACTAAGCTGGTGGCGTGGTGGCTATGTGTTGAATTGTTAAACCATACTCCCGTGAAGAGTTTCAGTCTGGGACGCTCAAAGGGCAGTTCTACCGTCTTATAATAGGGTCATTGTAAGTCAGCATCAACTCAACAGCAGTGAGTTTTCTTTTTTCGTTTTTCCTTCTCAAAGTAAAATTGACTATAGTGATGTGAGTGGAGTAAAGCCTGTGGAGTAAGGAAAGTCTTCGGGACCTTCATTTGCTGATGGGACACAACTCAAAATTTGAAGAAACAGCTGCAAAAATCTAATAACCAGAACTTGGAATGTATGAAATATGAATCCGGGAAAATTGGAAGTCGCATAAAGATGGATATTGTAGGTGTTAGTGAGCTCAAATGGACTGCTATTGGTCATTCTGAATCAGAAAATAATATGGTTTACTGTCTGGGATGACACAATCAAGAGGAATGACATTATGGCATTCATTGATAAAAAGGGCATTTCGAGATCTATCTTGAAGGACAATGCTGTCTGTGATAGAACCGTATCTGTCTGCCTTCCAGGAAATCCAGCCAATCTAGCTATTATCCAAATGTATGCACCAACCACTAAAGCTAGTGATGCAGAAATTAAAGAATTCTATCAACGTCTTCAATCTGAAATTGATCAAACAAGATGCATTAATAATTACTGGTGATTGGAATGCAAAAGTTGGAAACAAAGAGGAAGGAACAGTAGTTTAAAAATACTGTCTTGGTTACAGAAACGAAGTTGGAAATCATATGACAGATTTTTACAAGCGTAAGGTCTTCCTAAATCGCAAACATTTTTTTCAACAACAGAAATGGCGACTATACACATGGGCTTCTCCAGATTTTGTTGGGGGGTGCGGAGGAAGATTGTATATTTTTCTTTCTATGAAATCTAGGGGAC